GGGCGGTCCCAGGCACACAATTGCCCCCCACCCCCCTTATAGCTCCTGGGGGGGCCAAGCACCCAATTCCCCCCTCCCATTAAGGTCTGTGGGGTCACTGGCCCCCAATTCTCCCCCCATTAAAGCCCCTGGGGGTCATGCGCACACAATTGCCCCCCCTTATAGCCCCTGGGGGGGACAAGCACCCAACACCCCCTCCATTAAAGCCCCGGGGGGGTCCCGGGCACCCAATTTCCCCCCCTTCCATCTCCTGAGTGCCCCTTTTTCCTCCTCGTCCCCCAGGTGACAGTGCGCGTGAAGGTGGAGGAGGTGACCCCAGGGGACGCCGAGGACCCCCAAGTAGCAGGAGACCCCCCGACACCCCCCTTGGAGTCCCCCCAACTCCCCTCCGGGGGGGACGGTTGGCAGGAGGAGGTGACCCGGGCCAAGGTCAAGTTTGTCCCTGAGGAAGAGGAGCGGCACCCGCAGGAACCAGGTATTGGGGTGATGGAAAGATCCTTCACCACCACCACACCAAATAAAAAAAGGGGTGTAGAAGCTGGGGGAGATGGTGGGGTGTCTTCTGCGATGGGTTTGGCCCCATCTGGTCCTCCCGTGGTGTGGTCGCTCCTATTTTTGGGGTGGAGGGTGAGGAAGAATGAAGTTGGGGCGGTGGAAGGACCAAAAAGGAGGTCCTTCCGGCACTGGGGCAAACTCTTGGGGTGTTGAGGAAGAAGGATGGGGCCACCGAGGAGGAGTCACTCCTATTTTTGGGGTGGAAGATGAGTAAGAATGAAGTTGGGGTGGTGGAAGGACCAAAAAGGAGGTCCTTCCAGCGTTGGGGCAAACTCTTGGGGTGTTGAGGAGGAAGAAGGATGGGGCCACCGAGGAGGAGTCGGGTGGTGACTCCCACGGTGGTGGCACCCCGCATGATGCTGAACCCCGTTGCGGTGGGGAGGAGAAAAGTCTCCCCGGGCTCCAAAGTCAAATAGAAGTGAGAAGAAGGGCAGAGAGGAGGATACAAGATGGCCCCACCAATGCGGGGGAAGTCGGCAAACGGTTGTCTCCCAAGTTGCCGAGAAGTCGGAAGAGGTTGGAGATATTGGTGTGAAGGTCACGAGTGTCCGTAGAAAGCTCTTGGTTCACCCCGTTTGTCTTCAGGCAACCATGAGCCCCAAAATCTTCCTTCCTTCCACCAACTCTTCCCCCCTTCCACCCAACTCTTCCTCCCTTCCTCCAACTCTTCCTCCTGTCCACCAGCTCTTCCTCCCTTCCTCCAATTCTTCCTCCCTTCCTCCAACTCTTCCTCCCTTCCTCCCACTCTTCCTTCCTTCCACCCAACTCTTCCTCCCTCCCTCCAATTCTTTTCCCCTTCCTCCCACCAATTCTTCCCCCCTTCCACCAACTCCTCCTCCCTTCCTCCAACTCTTCGTCCCTTCCACCAACTTCTTCCCCCCTTTCACCAACTCTTTTCCTGTTCCTCCAACTCTTCCTCTCTTCCTCCAACTCTTCGCCCCTTACACCAACTCTTCCTCCCTTCCACCGCTGTCACCTTCTCCTTCGTGGTGATTCAAGTCATTTTGGGGATGATGGTTGGAGTGTGGTGGGCTCCTCTCTGGGTCCTCCTCCAGCCATCTTTGCCTGTTGGGCCAGGTCCTCCACTGAGGTGGCCTCATCTTCCTCTTTGTCCTGGTGGCCACCCATGGGTGGATTTGGGGCTTCACTCAATGGTGGGAGCTCATCTCCACCATTGCCGAAGGAGATTGACGGTGGTGGGTTCAGAGGAGACACATCGTGTCCTCTGTTGAGAACCAACTCATGACGCATCTTCTCCTCCCTCTTCCCCACCTCAGGTCCCACCATGGTGAGCGGAGACCCGGAGGCGTCCATTTGGCAATGGCAAGACCCCCAGCACCCACCCAACACCCTCCAGGCTGTCCCGATGGCCGGGCCCCCCACCCCGGGGGCGCCCCACCGACGACAGATCCCACGGGATCCCACCACCTTCCCACAGCCCCTAGCCCAAGGTCTGCCTGGACCGGTGGAGACCACCAAGAACCCGGAGAAGCCTTGGGTGAAGCGAGAACCGTCGGCGCAAGGGAAGGAGCGGCCGTACCCCTGCGGCGAGTGCGGCAAGAGCTTCGGCCGGTTGACCCACCTGAAGACCCACCAGCGAACCCACACGGGGGTGAAGCCCTACGCCTGCGGGGTTTGCGGCAAGAGCTTCGGCCACCTCTCCACCCTCACCACCCACCAACGGCTGCACACGGGCGAGCGGCCTTACGCCTGCCCCTCTTGCGGCAAGACTTTCACCAACCCCTCGGACCTCAACAAGCACCAACGGTCGCACACGGGCGAGCGGCCTTACCCCTGCGCCGCCTGCGGCAAACGCTTCAGCCAACAGTCCAACCTCACCATGCACCAACGGAGCCACACCGAAGAGCGCCCATACCCCTGCGGCGCCTGCTGCGAGAGCTTCAAGTACTTGGCGGACCTGACGGTCCACGAACGCTCGCACACAGGCGAGAGACCTTTCCCCTGTCCTCACTGCGGCAAGAGCTTCAGCAACAAGTCCTCCCTGGCCCGGCACACTCGTATCCACGCCCGGGCGGCCGCCAGGGACAAATGATGAGGGTTTGGTGGTGGGGAGGATGAAGAAGGTGGTGCCCGCGTCATCCCGGTAGAGGAGGTGGTGATGGGTGACCACCACGGGGTACGGTTGAGGTTGGGTGGGTGAGGTGGAGTTGGTGGTTGCCCCCGGGGTGGCCGGTGCTGGTTGCCTTTGCCAGCCGGCACTGGGCGGCTGCTACGGATGGACCGATCATCTTCTCGCGCAACGTGGACACAGGGGGGATGATGAGTTGATGGTTGATGTCCTCCCATGAGCTCAGTGGCTCCAGGACAAGGGTCGCTGGTCCTGGAGATGTGACATTGATGGGGGTGACAATGAGGTGATGATTGACGTCTCTGGTGGCTCCAGGAGGCACCTCCTGGTCCCAGAGGAGGTGCAACATGGCTGGGGGTGATGAGGAGCTGATGACTGATGTCCCCCATGAGCCTGGTGGCTGCAGGACAGCGTCTCAAAGGAGACGTAACATGGCTGGGGATTAACATGAACTGATGGTTGATGTCCTCCATGAGCCTGGCGGCTCCAGGACAGTGTCTCAAAGGAGACATAACATGGATAGGGATGAAGAGAAGCAGATATTTGATGTCCTCCATGAGCACGGTGGCTCCAGGACACAGCTCCCTCATCCCAGAGGAGATGCAACGTGGCTGGCAGTGAAGAGCGGCTTATGATTGATGTCCTCCATGAGCCTGGTAGCTCCAGGACAGCATCCCAAAGGAGATGTAACACGGCTGGTGATGAAGACAAACCAATGGTTGATGTCCCCCATGATCCTGGTGGCTCCAGGACAGTATCTTAAAGGAGACATAACATGGATGGTGATGAAGACAAACTGATGGTTAATGTCCTCCATGAGCCTGGTGGCTCCAGGACACACTTCCCTCGTCCCAGAGGAGATGCAACATGGCTGGTGATGAACACAAACTGATGGTTGATGTCTTCCATGAGCCTGGTGGCTTCAGGACACGCTTCCCTCGTCCCAGAGGAGATGCAACATGGTTGGTGATGAAGATGAACAGATGTTTGATGTCCTCCATGAGCCTGGTGGCTCCAGGACAGCATCCCAAAGGAGACGTAACATGGATGGTGATGAAGACAAACTGATGGTTGATGTCCTCCATGAGCCTGGTGGCTCCAGGACTGTGTCCTAAGTGAGACGTAACATGGATAGGGATGAAGACAAACTGATGGTTGTTGTCCTCCATGATCCTGGTGGCTCCAGGAGGCAGGTCCCTCATCCCAAAGGAGACGCAACACGGCCAGGGATGAAGACGAACTGATGGTTGATGTCTTCCATGAGCCTGGTGGCTCCAGGAAAGTGTCCCAAAGGAGACGTAACATGGATGGGGATGAAGATGAACAGGTGGTTGATGTCCTCCATGAGCCTGGTGGCTCCAGAACTCGCTTCACTGCTCCCCGAGGAGCTGCAACATGGGTGGAGATGCCACCAAACTGCAGATTGACGTGTCCCCCCCACCACCAGGAGCCTGGTGGCTCCCCGGTCCCCTCACCCACCTCCTCTGAGCTTCACCTCCCCCCCTGCCCCACACTGGGCCACCTCATCTTCTCGCCCCAGGCCTTAAATTTGGGAGACCCACCTACCTCAGCGCCCGCATGCCCGGGGCTCCACGCAGGCCCTGCGGTGGCCCGGGTGACCCTTGGTGGCTCCTCTTCCCTCCCCCCACCGGGTTCGTGTGTGTGTCCCCCCAATTTTTGTGTCCCACCACCACGTTTTGCTGTTAAACGACATTTTTTTGCCACTTCTCTGCGCTACTCTGTGGGGTTTGGGGTTTGTTTTTTTTCCTGCGACGCTGCGGTGTGGGGTGGGCGGCGGGGTTTCACCGGGCAGCGCTGCGGCGGCCGGACTGTGGGGGGCAGCGACGCAGGGCGA